GGGCAAGGGCAAGGGCAAGGAAAGCGGCCCGGCCACACCGGGGGCGGAGCGGGGAGGCCTGGGCCGCGCCCCGCGGTTGGGCTGGAGCAGGGCTCCGGAGCTGGGCTGGGCCGGCGGCTGAGGGGGGGCGGGAGGAGGGAGCCGGGTCGCCTCCCCCAGCGGGGAGAGACCGCCCGAAGCGGCGGGGAGGAGGAGGAGCCCCCTCCGGCAGAGCGGGGGCGGCGGCGGCGGGAAGCCGTCCTTATAAACTCGGCCCCGCCATGATTGGCACCTGGGCGCTGGCGCTGCCTCCCAACCTGCGGCTCCCGCCGAGGAGGAGCTGGGCCCCGGCCTCCCCCCCGCCCCTCCGCCCCCCTTCGTTCAGCCCAGGGCCGCCGCTGCTGGCCGGCACGGACCAGCTTCGGGAGGAAGGGCCGGATCTGGGGCTTGCCCGGGGCCGTAGCCAGAGGCGTCAACCCCCGTCCCCTTCCTGGTGTAGATCCTTCGGGATCGAGGCCGGCGCGATGCGCTCTCCCCCGGAGCCAGCTAATCCTGCTGAACTGCGGAGCTCAGTGGCCGTAAGCTGGGAATCTTGATACTAAGAGGAGCTAATCCTCCGGCCGTGAGCCGTTAGGATCACACCGGCAAAGCTCTGCGTAGCAGAGGTGCGCTTTTGCAGGGCGTCCTTGGAAATGAGCTTATTCTGTGGGTTTTTTACAGTATGTCGTGCTCGCCTGCCTCCACTGCCTGGTCGGTAGAAGGCTGTGGAGCGGGTCTGGCATGGAGGAAAACGCGTTCTGTCGTTGGCCAGAAGTCACCGCACGTAGGAACAGGCATCAGTTGTCCGTGGGGAATGCCGGGAAGTGCAGCGGTTCCCAGCCAGCCAGCTAGGCTGCTGCGAGGAGCTCATCTGACACGTTCTCTCCGCAGGAACAGAATGAGCCAGGGGGATGCCAACCCGGCAGCAGTGCCACATGCCGCTGAAGATATTCAGGGAGATGACAGGTGGATGTCACAGGTAAGGCTTCTTGGGTGGGGGGGGGTCTGATGGGCAAGTGCTGACCCTGAGGGTCACACATTACAAGACGTGTCTGTCTTGTAATGATGAATCAAGGCGAAAAGCAGCTTCGTTGCATGACCTGAAAGCTGCCCTGCAAAACCGTTTCAGAAAATACCCCCGTCAGCCCCTTAGCAGGCAGAAATCGCCAACCCTTTTGTCAAACAGAGCGTGGAGCAGCACTTTCCAGCGTGTCGCTGCACCAGGGAGTGGCAAAGCTAAAACTAGCAGTGGCTAAGTGCCTGGTGTGCCCATCCCTTGCTGCAACGCTTCCTCCTAGGCTGGGAGATATAGCCGGAGGACACTCGCTGCAGCAACTAGCCATTCATTTCTCTCTTTGGTAGTCGCTGAATCTAACGGGCATCTGACAGGCTCATGGCTGATGTGTGTGTAGTGCGTAGAGTAGACGCGATGCTGGTCCTGCCGGAACCGAGGCTGTTGTGGGGGTTGGGGTAGTTGGGAGGAGCATCCAGGGGTTGATGGCTTAACACAGAGAAGGGTGTTGGAAGGAACAGCACGGTTCGGCAGCAGGGGAAACCAGCCGGGCAACCGTCTCTTTCCATCCTGCAGCAGCCACGCCAACGAGGAACTGTCAGGTGGAGCTTACCTTACTGCTTTCTTTCACCAGCACAATAGGTTTGTCTTGGACTGCAAAGACAAGGAGCCCGATGTGCTCTTCGTGGGTGACTCCATGGTGCAGTTACTACAGCAGTATGAGGTAACGTTAAAGAAAGGAGGATGGTGGGGTTATAGGGATTAGATTGGTTCTTTCTCAAATCGGGTAACTGATAGTGACGTGTAACACCAACAATTTCTGCTGTTCCAATTTTTCTGCCATCCTTTCCAGTTTATTCTGCCCTACTTCCTTAACTTCCCAGTGCTTGTACAAGGCCTTGCCAAGCTACACGCAGTCTTTCTCTGAAGCCAGTCTTTGTCTGAAGCCGTTACTGACCGCCTCCCGATTTCCAAACCCCCTTCAACATCTCTGTGGGTGTACCTTGTGTGGGCAGAACACGTTTAACCCCTTAGCATCTGGGGTGCTACAGGCATCAGCATGCTGGCTTTTCTCTAAAACTCCATCGGAGTGAAGCAGTGTTCTGCTGCTCTGCCGCGGTGGTGACAGAGCAGCTTTATTCTGCAAGAGCTGCCTCCATTTTTTCTAGTTTTGTTCCCTGTTGATGAAAAGGATTCCTTCAGGTCATAGACACTTTCTTCAGCTGCCCTGTACTTAGGGAAGCTGGGGACACGGTGCTCTGCAACAGATCCAGCACCCTCTGTGTCTCTGAGGAGTTGGGCAAATAGCTGCTCGAGGGAACTTCCCCTTCCTTTGTGCTGGGACTGAGTGCTTGAGCATCAGCAGCTCCGTCTCTTCAGGACCTCCAAGTAAAGCCCAGTCCTGTGTTTAAATGCCCTTTATGGAAGGGAGTTTTCGGAGGAAGTCTCCTGGCTATTTTTAGTGTCCTTGAAGACATTGCTTGTCTGTGTAGTATCTTTCATTCACCACCAGGATGCTGCTCTGAAATAGCAAATTGATTTCTGGTTGCAGATATGGCGAGAGCTCTTCTCACCCCTTCATGCACTGAATTTTGGGATTGGTGGAGACACCACAGGTCATGTTCTATGGAGACTGAAGAACGGTGAACTGGAGAACATTAAACCGAAGGTATAAGCAGAAAACCAAATCTGGCAGCCCTGCGTTAACTTAGAGGAGACTTCAGCACTCAAGCGCTGCAGAACTGAGTGAGCCGTTACTGTTAGAGCTTTTTGTTTGAGCAGCCGTTGGTTGAGTGTGCGTCAGGTGTAGAAATGCGTGTGGCTTACCCAGAAGTGTTTGGGAACAGAGCTGCACGTCTCCTAGATGGGCTTTACGCTGCTGAATGTGCAAATCGGAGGACTTCATCAGTAAACAGAGCCGACCTCCCAGTCCTAGCAAAAACATCGATCTGGCCTACGATTTACCGTAGCTTGGAGTTGCAGTCTGTCCCTCAGGCCCAAGGTGTATTCTCGGCCTCTAGAAGAGGATGCGGAAGTATTTGATAAGTGGTAGCAAAGGTTTTCAGGACGTGTGGTGAAGAGCAGCTTCCCAGCCTGCACCTACAGTTGCAGCCCAATTGCGAGTGGCCATACTGAAAGCGGCGGACAGTGCACCAAGTTGCTGTTACGCCACGCGTACCCCAGGGAGGGAGGCAGCGGAGCTCATACTCGAGCTTACAATCTTTTCAAGCAAAAAGTGGAGCTGTACCATTGTCTCTGCCCTGAAGGAGCTTACACTATACTGTATAACTCTATGTTACCCTCTTTTTGACCAGCGTAGGCTCTTGCAGGTACATTGGCCAAGATGGGGTGGGCTCAGGCATCTCTTAGGCTGTCCAGAAAAGTTTCCGTAGTGGCAGCTCATCAGTCCTGAGGGCCAAAGCAGAAGCTCGTAAGGCACTCTGCAGAAATCAGCACAACTGACAGCTGAAGACCTCTTGCAGTCTTGAGTTTAGCCTTAAGCCTGACTATTCACATAGCTTGCTGGTCACAGGTGATGTGTACAGAGGGTTTTCAGGGTCAGCAAGCCTATTACAACTTGTTGTGACAAAGTTGCCAACATTTTTTTTCTCCTTGTAGGTCATTGTTGTTTGGGTTGGAACAAATAATCATGAAAACACAGCAGAAGAAGTAGCAGGTGGCATTGAGGCGATTGTGCGCCTGATAAACAGCCAGCAGCCACAGGCCAAAGTTATTGTACTGGTATGTTTCTTGGAGCACTGGGAAAACCAACTGGTCGGAGGAAGCCCCGTGTTCTCTGTACCGTGCCTCTGCGCTACTGGGAGTTACTGATCGTTAGCGGGGAGGGCAGGTGCTTTATCTAGCTTCTGCTTTCTGTGTGCCTCCCCTTGTTCACCTGGCTTTGTAAAAGTCATCCTTTCGGCCCCTCCAGAGGCAGCTGTGATCGTTCCCATTAGCGGCATTGCTGTCCCACTTAGAAATGGCGTGGAAGAAGTCCTGTGAGGGGAACATAGGTGCCCAGATCAGAGCCAGCACTGGAAATCCTAGTTGGTTTCCTTGCCTCGGCAGCTTAGCTGGTGCCTCTCTTGTTGAGAAGCTGGGTGATGGCATTCAGTACAGTGCTGAAAGTGCACAGAAAGAGCAGAAAGTGATACATTTAAAAAAAAAAAAAAAAGACAGACAAAAGAAAGCGGGTGCCTTGCCAGCTGTGCTTACAGCTCATCTGGCGCCTTCAGTTGCATTTCAGATTAGGTCTGAACAGACAAAGTCTGATTCAAGGGATGAGCTCCCCTTGACACAAACGTCTAAGTCTTGAAAGGCTGCCTGAATTGGAAGGGAAGGCAGGCATTGTTAGGCCATTGCAGTCATATGAAGCTCTTTTTTTGCCTCCTTCTTATGCCAGGGCCTGCTACCTCGTGGAGAGAAGCCAAACCCGCTGCGGCAGAAGAATGCCAAGGTGAACCATCTGCTAAAAGCCTCGCTCCCCAAACTGCCCAATGTCCAGCTTCTGGACGTGGACGTCGGCTTCGTGCACTCAGACGGCACCATCTCGTACCACGACATGTTTGATTTCCTGCACCTGACAGGAGGGGGCTATGCAAAGATCTGCAAACCCCTCCATGAACTGATCATGCAGCTGCTGGAGGAGACCCCCGAGGAGAAACGAGCTGCCCTGGCCTGAGTAGCTGATGTCAGCATTAACAGCATCATCCAGCCCATCAGATCAGTTCTGTCACTGGCACTACAGAGTCCTTCTTTCTTAAAGCACTTTCCATTGTAGAATGTTACCGGATGTTCGTACCTAGTGTTTTGAGGGGGAAGGCTAATGTTTAACTGGTCTTGTACATATGAGGGCCGGCTTGGTTGGTTTTATTGCAGGAGGAAATTAGCTGAAGAAGAATTTTACTTTTAAATCATTCCTCATTTAAACCGAGAACAGGACTGTCACTCTGTGCCCCTCTCATGTCTTGTTGCTCTGTGGTTGTCCTAGAACCCTCGTAGCCTGTCTCTGACAGCCCGTGCACACCCCCTGCCTCACTGGTCCTGGCCGTAGGGATTGTGCTCTGTGTATTAGCCTGTGAACAAGAATCACATTCCACTTGCAAAAGCCAGAACAGATGCATTTTTCCAAACTCGGTCCCACCATTGAAAGTTTTGGGGATTGGTTTTTTCTTTTTTTGGGGGGGGGGGGTGTTAAGTGACACGTGTTGCTTTCTCACTCCTTCTTTCTGAAGCAGCATGAAACTGGAATTCAGAAATGTAAAGAAACAAACGGTTAACCGAACTGCTGTACCACTCCCAGGTGCTGGTTCTTGTGCTTCTTTCACCATGCCTGATAGCTGGGGCACCTTTCCTCCTCCCACATAGCTTTCCCCAGGGGCAGTCTTGTTCTGGTGCTGCTGGCTGTCCTGTTCTCTGCTCCTGTCTGCGTGTCGTGTCGCTGGCTTTTAACAGTTGCTTGGTTTAGGATTTTAATTGCCCAGTAAATGCTACGCAAGGCAGTCACTTCCTTGCTAGTCTAGAACCAATGTTTCATTCCTCTGAGATGCCTGTGCCACAGGGCTCTTTGCGGTGCCGTTCATTGTTGGTTGTTTTGGGTTTATTTTTTTAAGTATGAATGTTACCTCCTTTTTTGTCTAAAGGAAGCCCATATGAATAGCCCCTGTCTGCAAGGCCTAAATCAGTCTAAAGCTTTACAGATTCCAAGGTGTATATTTCTTTATTGCTTCTGTTTTACGTGTATAAACATTTTATTCGAGCAACTATGGCCTCTTAGAGTAAAAAGTGAAGTCAAGGCATAGCTTTTCCTGCCCTGGACGCTGCTCTTCGCCTCTAGCCAAGGGAGCCAGAGGGGCAGGTGCCCTCCTACTGGGGCTGCAACTAGGAGGGGGTTTGGTTTGGTTTTTTTTGTTACAAGGGCGAGTTGTAGTCTACTAACCATGGTAGGAAAACAGCCTTTCATTTAGAAGGAAAGGTTCTCTTGTTCAGAAAGAAACTGGTTTGGACCCAAAAGGCAGAGCCCTAGTTGAATAGATAACTCTACTTGCAAAGAAAACACTTCTAAAGAAAGTCTGTTCCTCCTCAGCTTACCTGCTGGAGTCAGAGCACAGCAGTGCTGTGCAGACCTCGCCATGGTTCGCGCCCTGGTAGCTGGCCGAGAGCTGCCAGCACAGCTCTCTGCCCTTCTTCCCACCTAAGCGGGCTCTGCGGTCAGGTGTGCTTATCCTGGCCGGTAAACCGGAGAGGAATGGATAGCTTCTTAGCAGGCACTTCATACCGTGTTCTGAACAAGGGGTGTTTAGGTGTCGGGGCTGCTTGCTGTGTCCCGCTGCAACAAAGTACGTAGGTACTGTATATAGTCTGTTTGCCCTTTTTTATAATGAAGGGTGCTGGTGTTGAATGCAGTCTATAACCTAGCATTAAGGAATACTTTACTGTCCCCACTACGTTCCCTTCTTCCTGTAGACTTGATCGTAGCAGGATTTCTGCCTGGATTGCATGCATAGTGTGTGTTTTGTTTCCAGTATATGTGATCTACACACAGATGAAGGAAAGATGAAGCGTTCCGCTTGCCAGGATCAGAAGTAGGAAGTTTTGGAGTGCTGTGGTAGAGGAGAGAGTACGGTCCTGCCCCCACGAACCCAACTAGGGACGCACTGCTCCCTGAGGCTTGCTCTGGAGCTCTGCTGCCTTGCAGGACGGGCTTTAAGGGAGGGTTGCTCGTGCTGCCGATAAGGTGCTGGCTGGAGAAGCTGGAGCAAGGGAGAGTGGGAAAATCAAGTGTTACAAATATGCTGCAGTGGAGGATTCCTGGAGAAAGGGCTTCTCCCACCCCCTAGGCACCCCTTAGGGAGATGGGATAGAACACGTTCCGCTCCCTCTGAGCTTTTCGGGTTTCTGGGCTTGTGCGAAAAGGCAGTATGCTACTTTAATCTATGCATCATCCCTGCTTCCCTCCCTGCTGTCGCTGCGTTTGGCTCGAGAGATGCTAACCAGGAATGTACTCTCCAGAAAAAAGCTCTGCCTTCTCAACTCAGCGGCCGAGGCTGTGCTTAGCTGTGAGTCAGCCCCTCTTGGCGGGGTGCCGAGCGGACCAGGAGGTTTGGCAGGCTCCCGAGCCTTTGGCAGCGTGACTTGAGCCAGCTCTGCTTAGGCTTGGCTTGCTGAGGTGCTGTGCTTGGTTCAGTGCTCCCCTCCTTCTCTGCTCCCCTAACCCCCTCGGGGACTGCTGGCACTGTGTAATGAAAGCAAGGACGGCTTCCCCTCCACTCAGACTTTGCTCTGCTCGTCGCCGCCTAGTAAGAAGCTGCCCCACTCACAGCTGCGAGGTTTTGGGGTTCTCCCTCCTCGCTGATTTCATACTAAAAACCGAGTGCCTCGTCACAGGAGACATGACGTAGAAATGCTTCAGTGCTGGCTCTGGGTGACCGATGTCCCCTGGGGTTGGGGCTGGGCTCCCCCTGGCTGGCCACCGGGAACCATGTCATTGTTAAGGGTTGGCTGGAAAGGAGCCGGCCCTGTGAGGCTTCTCCCACCATCAACAACCCAGCTGCATTTGACAGCTCTGTGCTGGAGCCAGCCATCTTCTCTGTGTGAGCGTTGCCGGTTGCAGGTTTATCGCAGCAGAGAGAAAAAACAAAAGATGTGAAAGGACAGAAAGAGTCTTTGGTGACTTGCCGGGGGGACAGGAGGACGACTGCAGGATGGAACCTGCGAGGAGGAAAGCCTGTACTGTGCGTGAAAGGAGGCCGTGCCCTCCCTCTGCACTGCTTGCCCGCAGGTACTGCCCTCTAACCGCTCACTGCCCTGAACCTTCCTTCCCCGGGACAAAAAAAATTGTCATTCTGCTTTGGCAAAAATGCATCGGCTGGTAGAGCTCACTCTGTTAGTGCATATTTCGATATAAATGTCAATGTTTCACCCCACCGTGTTGCAGCGTGTGTGTGTGTGTGTGTGCCTAGGCACCCGCGTCTCGCCTTTCTTCCCTCTCTGTGTCAATGACTCTGTTTGGTGTCTGCGGGGACCAGGGAGGTGCTGCCCCACACGGAGCTGCCAAACCATCCTCCCCCTGGCTGCACTCACAGCGTTCCCTCCCTAGGGGGGCTTGGGAGTCATACTCTGCTGGCTCCTCGCTTACTCTGTTCTTTTCCCCGCTTGGCTGGGGGGCTTTTCTTTCTTTGTTTTTCCTCTCCTTGCACTGTGCGCAGCTCAGGTCCCGTACCCAAAGCTGTAAGCAAGGTTCTGTGGGTGAAGGTAACTGGTACTTTGGCCCTTGACGGGATGTCGGCTTGTCTTTGATGATGCAGTGATTTCTCTTTAATAGCCCTGACATGAGCAGGGAATGCACATCACCACGCAATCCAGCTTACAGTCATCCCAGCAGAAGCTTGACTCGAGTTTGAGCAGCAGCTTAGGAGTCGGTTGGAGTTCTGCTTCCAGCTCCTGCATGGGTGTCCGTCTGTCCCCGAGCAAGTCATTCCATCCGCTGTCAGCGTCACCACCTGTAACCTGGAAACAACACGCAGACTGTCCGAAAAGTGCTTTGGGATCCTCGCCGAGAGGACCTATAGAAATAAAGTGCACAATAGCAGCAGTGCTCGTCTCTTTACGTTTGTCCCACAGAGAGCAGAGGGAAACCGGCGGCAGGGTGTTGGCTGTCACTTTGAGCCTAGAAGATGGCTTTCTGCGGCATTACGTGGGGCTGAGCTGTTTCGGCAGAGCAATTAAAACCCGGAAACCCCATCACAGGCACGTAAAGCGTGACATGCGTAGCCACGGAGCCTGTGGAGAGGGGGACCTATATGTGGGAAGCTCATCAGCAGCTGGGATGGGGGGTCTTGGCAGAAGATGCGTGATAAAACACAGTGTGGCATCGCTCCCACTTCCGCAGTGGAAAAACTTCAAATTACCTTGAATTACTGCAACCCCTGGTGACGGAGGGTGCCGCAAAGGTGAGGGGAGGCTGGGGGACCCCCTGCACAGAAAGCCAGAGGGGAGGGCAGGAAGGGGAGAGGCACCCATGCATTCGTGGTGCCTCGCCTGGCAATGAACTTTGCCATGCCCCCACGCTTGAGGACATTGGTGGCCAGGCGGCTGGGTGAGTGGCTGGAGCGGGTGGCCAGAGAGCCACCCGGCGTCGCTGGTGCGGGACCCCGGCCAGGGAGGAGTTCTTGAGCCGGGGCTGGTTATGGCTCCTGCGTTGCCTGCCTTGCCATTACTGCAGCAGCTCGTCTATGCGGACCAGGTGGCTGCAGCAAGCCATCTGAGCCCACTTCTGGGAGCCGGGGGGTCAGCAGCATCCCTGTGGCACCCATTGGTGCTGGGGCCAGCTCGGGTCACCGGTGGGGGCAGTTGGCGGCGGGTGTGCTGGAGCACAAGAACGCTGTGAACGAGGCTGCCAGCAGCAGTCGATGCCTCCCGCCGCTGCCGGCTGCAGGGGCGAATGCAGCGCTGGGGCTAGGGGGACCTCGCTCGCTCCCGGCCCCCTCCCCAAGCCGGGGGCTCGGCAGGCGGGACGGGTCCTTATCCCATCCGAGGGACTCCGGCAGCCTCTGTGTGACCTGAGGGGCTGCTCGGGGTGGGGGCTCCCCTGTGGGACAGGCCTTACTCTATGGGGCCCTGTCTAGGGCAGGGGCTCCCCTGTGGGACAGGGCTTCCCCTGTGGAGTCCTATAAGGGGCAGGGGCTTCCCCTGTGGGGTCCCCCTGGGGCAGCGGTGCCCCACGGAGCGGGGGTTCCCCGGCGGGACACTGCTGCTCTATCGAGGGGCCCGCTGCCCCCAGCCCGGGGAAGGGGACGCCCGGGCGCCGCCCGCCGCCGCGTCACTTCCCCGACCTGGCCCTTTAACGTGTGACGGTGCGTGACGTCACCGCCGGCCCGTGTTTACAGCTGCCTGCGGACCGGGGAGATAGATAGAAAGTACCGACAGCAGGCAGCGGCGGCACCGCCGGGATCCAGGACCGGGCAGCGGCGGCACCGCCAGGATCCAGGACCGGGCACCGGCACCGACACCGACACCGCGGCTCGCCATGGGGCGGGGTGCCCGGGCGCGACCCGGCTGACCGACCCGACCCGTCCCGTCCCGTTCCGTCCCGTCCCGCCCCGGCGGA